TGTAACTCTACGGCCGCCACCTCTTCGTCCGCCTCTCACTTCCCGATCAAAAAGGTTTTGCTTTTGTTGTGGAAAACACTTCTCTTATCTCTCGGAGGCATTCAGAAACTCAAAGACACTAAGAGTTCGTACCGACAGAGAAGTGGTTTGAATCCAATAACGGACGACACGTTAGAAGTGACGCGAACTATGAGAGCGGCCTCTCCTCCAGCGTCGGCCACAGACCTGATTGAAGCCCAACAGCAGAGGAAAATGAATCGTCCGTTTAAGAGGCAGACTGTCATCAAACAGAGTTCAATGATTGGCGACGAATCGGTCTCTTATCAGGACTTCGACGCAAACAATGAGTCCAATGACGAGGAGATGATGTCTGCGGACGAAGGAATGAATTCATATAATAATGGCTTAAATAACGAGAAGAATGGCACGAATGGTGTTGTGATTGAGTCCGAGAGAGAGATTAGAAATAATGCCACAAATGATGAGAAGATGGAAATGGAGGCGCGTCCCGGCTCTCCACGGCCTAAGTCTGTCCCCAATTCTCGGTATTCAGAGTTCAATTCAGACGAGTTTAATGAGAGTCGACCCCCAAATGCGGCCATTCCTATGAACGAGATGAACGATATGATGGCAGACTTGCCTCAAATCAATAAAGGCCTTCCATGGGTTCCCAAAGTCCGACAGAAAGACATCGACTCCTTCTTAGATCACACGAGACTTAAGTTCGTGGGATATGTTCTGCCGAACGACAGGACAACCACTGCAGGCCTTCCCGAACCCATTCTCGAAAGCATTTCAATACTCGAGCGACACATTTATGTCTCGCTATCGGAGGCGCAGATGAAACGCGAGGAAGAGCTCAATAAATACCCGCTGACTGTCAAAGAGTTGGATGAATTACCACTGAGTTCTTCGGCTGAGACCTTATATCAAGCAATGCTTCCGAGTTTACCTCAATATATGATAGCATTGCTTAAGATCCTGTTGGCGGCGGCGCCCACTTCGAAGGCGAAGACCGATTCGCCGAATATCATGGCAGACGTATTGCCTGAAGAGATGCCGATGACTGTCCTCCAGTCCATGAAATTAGGAATAGATGTGAACCGACACAAAGAGATCATTATAAAAGCGGTTTCCGCCATACTTTTGCTGCTACTAAAGCACTACAAACTCAATCATAAATGGGTTCCCAAAGTCCGACAGAAAGACATCGACTCCTTCTTAGATCACACGAGACTTAAGTTCGTGGGATATGTTCTGCCGAACGACAGGACAACCACTGCAGGCCTTCCCGAACCCATTCTCGAAAGCATTTCAATACTCGAGCGACACATTTATGTCTCGCTATCGGAGGCGCAGATGAAACGCGAGGAAGAGCTCAATAAATACCCGCTGACTGTCAAAGAGTTGGATGAATTGCCACTGAGTTCATCGACTGAGACCTTATATCAAGCAATGCTTCCGAGTTTACCTCAATATATGATAGCATTGCTTAAGATCCTATTGGCGGCGGCGCCCACTTCGAAGGCGAAGACCGATTCGCCGAATATCATGGCAGACGTATTGCCAGAGGAGATGCCGATGACTGTCCTCCAGTCCATGAAATTAGGAATAGATGTGAACCGACACAAAGAGATCATTATAAAAGCGGTTTCCGCCATACTTTTGCTGCTACTAAAGCACTACAAACTCAATCATATCTATCAGTTTGAATACATCAGTCAACAGCTAATGTTTGCCAATTGTATTCCATTGGTTCTGAAGTTTTTTAACCAAAACATCTCCGCCTATATCACCGCCAAAAATACCATTTCAGTCATTGACTTCCCGGCCTGTGTTATAGGCGAGCAGCCGGAGCTCACGGCTGATACGCTCGAGTTCGGGGAGACTCAGGCCTATTGCTGGAGGAATATGTTTAGTTGTATTAATTTGCTTCGCATTCTCAACAAGCTAACCAAATGGAAACACTCCAGGATTATGATGTTAGTGGTGTTCAAGTCGGCCCCCATTCTCAAGCGGGCCCTCAAAGTACGCCACGCGATGTTGCAGTTGTATGTCTTGAAACTGTTGAAAATGCAGGCCAAGTACTTGGGAAGACAGTGGCGCAAGTCCAACATGAAGACCATGAGTGCGATCTATCAGAAAGTGAGACATCGGCTGTGAGTTCACTATCATTCACTGATTTATAACAACCATTAATTTGATTATACTTTTGTAATTTAAGTAACGACGACTGGGCCTATGGTAACGACTTAGACGCCCGTCCCTGGGATTTCCAGGCCGAGGAGTTCACTCTTCAGGTTTGATCATTAGATTCGCTATTCTTTATATTCTGTATATTCTTGCAGTGGTTTTACTTTATATAATACCATTTTGCAGGCAAACATTAATCGTTTCCATAACCGTCGATATGAGAAACAGTGCACTACTGGTGTCTCTCAGTCCCAACTGTTGTCTAATTCATCGGTCAATTCAAACCCCAATTCTACAAACTCCATGTCCTTAGACGCCATGTCAGCAGATATTCTACAACCGGTTGACAACAACTTCCTCTCAATTCTAAGCCGAGACATAGAACTGACAAAAGAATTTAAATACAATTACGAGACATGGCTTGAGAGAGAAGTTTTCCAATTCACCGTCGATTGGGATCAGCTATTGTCGGCCACCAATACTGTCAGCATGTAATCTATCGGCCAATTATACAACTCATCCCTCTATTTATTACCAATTTTTATTCATTTTTTGTAAATTATTCCCACTTTTAACCTTTAAACTAATTCATAGAATTTTTGAATTGATCACAGAATTGTGTATTTTAGTGGCAAATGATTAATCATTAAAAATTTATGCAATTTTAATTCAATTCTTTACAATTTAATTCAATCTTAAACCATAAGTCTTTGGATTGAGACGGCACATATTAATGATAATGTTACATTGCTATTATATCCAAGCTACCTATTCAATACATGAACTTTGAGATTTTATATTACCGGTAATATTTTGTATGTGTACAGTATATTTTACATTAAATGAATTTAATTTGAAACAGAATTTAATGGTAAAATGTGGTCATTATCGTAACTCAAACAAATTTTCTATATCTGAATTTTGAGTGAATGAAAGTTGTCTTAATTTTATGTATTTATAATAAAAACAATTATTTGATTTCAAATAAAACAGTCACTAGAATTTTTGTTGTTAAAATTTATTTTATTTCATTTGAGACTAAAATAGTTTGTCTAAAAAATAAAAATAAAATTTTTAAAACGATTTTATTTAAACGAATGGTTTGAAAACATTATGTAGTATTAGAGAACAGGAATGAGAAATAACTGGTAATGTATTTACTGATGGGATTGTCTGAGAGGCGCCCCTTTGGCCTAAAACCTCGCGGAGGCAATGATTTCTTGCATATGTTTCCGGTCGGAGGGAAGAAATTTCGCGGACATATCATTGAAGTGATGCCTCCAAACGCTTTGTCAATAAAGTTTTTGAAGTTTTTCTGGCCGTCAGCGCCGCACGACTGTCCGATCATAGAGTCTGTGCAGTCCTCCCATGTGTTGTGACCGCAACACAATGTGTCGATTCTGTCGTCGATTTCTGTCCTATTGATAGCGAACTCCAGAGCAGACAAGTAGTTGTTATTGCAGTTAGTTTTGTGCTCAGATGTGGACAACACTTTGTTGTGAATACAAACTGAATTCTTTAAGAAATCTGTTTAATTGTAAATAAATTTTAAATCTTTTGTCATCATTGCTAATACAGTACTGTAATACAAGTCATATTTAAATGTTATTATTAAATATAAATATACTTTAATTCTAAATTAATCAATCGAGATGAATTTACTGATTTATGTTAATATTACTGTAATTAGAATAGGTTCTGAAACTATAATAATTTGAAAAATTGAAAAATGTATGTTAACATGAATTCATTGCTTACTTTCACGAACGGGTCCGGAATCACAGAATTGTTTGATTGTCTGCTGAAAGTGTTCGCTAACGAAGTCAAACACTTCCCTCTGTAGTGGTGTTCCACATCTTCTGATGAAACTTTTGATACATTTGGTCACATCACTCACTGTTCTGATATATTCACAAAACTTTCATTATTTTTCTTATTAAACATTAAGTTACATATTATATAAATATTAATCATTTGTGTATAATTACTATCATCAAGTTATTATGGGATTTAAATACAATATAGAAAAATACTCAATAGACAGAAAATATCATTTAAAACTTCATAACACACTATAATAGCGCAAAAACTTTAATGTTTGCGAAAGACCAATATTTGATAAATATTGATATCCTGGTCATTTTGGGAATTTGGTTCGACTTACCCACAAATTTTGTCAATTCCTTCTGGAGTTGTAATAATAGCTGTAGGATTGGGACCTTTAGCCATGGCTTCGAGTTTGTCGAGACAGGAATCAATTTCCTTGAGATGGCAGAGTTGGTCACTCCTGTTCCGATTGGATCGACTTCTACTGCGGCTTCGGGATCGTTGTGCCGCACATCTGTAAACGCATATTAGAGTCGCAAAGCCTTTGGAAAAGTTTGTCATTTCAATCATATAAATGTCTCATTCAATAAAGTGTCATATATGGTGTCACTTACAAATCACTTTCTTTAAATTCATATCAAAACAAATAAATTCTTTAACAGTTCAAATGCAAGCAAAATCAAATCAAATCTACTTTCACTGATTACAATTGAATCGAAATCAAGATTTGTATGAAACTATAAAAGCTATTCTTTATTATTTGCAAAACTATTGCTTTCACTCAAAGCAATCATTCAAAACTAATCGAAAGTTTTAAGTGATGCTAAATAAGCGGTAAAACAGGGAATCAGACAATTGCTATATAAAACTTGTTTCTTTAAATTAAGACTTTGTTTCGGATGGATCTGTATATAGACTTTCACCTAAAGTGGCAAAAGTACTCCAAGAGAGCCAATATAGCGGTCGTATTAGTGAACCAAACGGTGAGAGCGAATAACCCTAAATGAGGACAAACCGAGTTCATAGATCCAAACGAACTTAATTTCGATGTCTTGACTCACTTTAACAGTTAATATTGGATTCTATATTAGATCTCATATTTTATCCAAACTTACATAAAGTTGTCATAAGAGTACATAAAATATTGTACATATAGTTTACTAAATACAGAATACAGTAGTTATACACGTAATTTGAAAATGTATAACTAACTTACATGAAAAAATGCTCAAATAGTGATATATTTTTCAATTCTTTAGATAACAATTGACGGATCACTACATTTGCCTACAAATACAGCACATGAATTGCATTCAATTGCAGACAAACAACTCATTTGCAGAAAATTTTTAACTACAAATATATTTAAATTGTTTGTTAATATAAATTCTGTCAAAAATGTTAGTTATTTTTGAATGTATGACCCAATTGTCGAAGTGGTCCGAAAAGATAAATACATTTATTTCTTATATTATCAATCTTTTGCTTACATTTTCTCTAATCATTGCATTTCTCATGAAAACATACATTAATTAAATAATAAATTAAATAAATCTTTTATGAAACTTTACTTTTAGAATAACTTTTAGTGAACTATACTTTTGTGCAAATGTAAATACAGTAAATGACCATTTATCATTATAAATTACGATATTTTAAACATGTTAGATTTACTTGTTTTACTTTACCGTATTTTTAGCCGATTAATGAATAATCAGTTTAAGTTAAATAAGTTAAACCATTCACTTCATTAAACTGTTTAACCATTACACTGGAAATCACAGCGGGGTCATATGATTATATCGTATTATTATTTATACTGTATCATGCAAATTACCATTATCTAATGTAAATAATAATTCTGAACAGCAATTATTGAAATTTAAATTACTTTTATTATCAGTTAAAGTCTTAAAACATTATGAAATAAATATAACTAAAAAAATAGTTACAATAATAATAATAATAATATTTTAATGAATCCGAAGTGTAATAATAGAAAAGTTGAATCAATACATGTTTTCAGTGTTGGAGGAACGGGGGGTTTTGATTTTGTCTAAGTTTTTGGTAACCTAGAAATAAGTAAGTCTAAATAAGTACCAAGTACCAAGCACATGTATGTCCAGATGCATACCATATCATGGAGTGTGGCGTAATGGTTGCGCAACTCGGCCACAACCAGACGCAGTGATAAGAACTCCTTTTCGTCGATCTCCTGAATGGTGCGGCGATAGTCCTCTACGTGCGGATATTTAGCCACTTTTGCCACAGTCTTGGCTCGCGATAAGAAATATCGAGACATTTGGTCGAAATAAGCGGCCGCTTCGCCCTCCACTGTCCTGATCTCAGCCAACGTGTCCTCCTATGGCATGGGATCACCACATCATCCGTGAGACAAACCATACAAATATAGTGGATATTCAATGCATACCTGAATAGAAACCCCAAAATTATTCCCGTCTTCGATGCGAGGAATGAGGAATAAAATCCACATTTTTAGCTATTTGTCAACAAATGAATAGACAATTAATAGACAATTAATATTCACTCAAAACCCATGTCTGAAGGCATATACTGACCAGATTTGCGTCTTCGACCAACTGCCGGATCAAAGGCTTAACCAATTCGATGAGTTCGACCACATGTTTATTACACGGGGCCACACCATTGGGCAGCACCAGTACTTTGGTTCCCGACACACCATCGCAGTCGATGGCCGCATACTTCCGCTTCTTCGACTGCAAACACATCCAAAAGACGATTACAATGAGTGGCACAGAGATGGTGTGCTGAGTGTATGACATACCGGTTGGTCTCCCTGTGCGGCGTCCGTGTGGTTGTTGTCGAGGAAGGGGTGTTCGGGCACTGGAATGTTGATATCGGTGCAGATGTCCGACAACTTCTTGATCGTGAATTTACTGCTCTATTCACAAGAGTATGACAAGAGTTAGTAATGGATCTCATGAGTGGTCAACGAAGACAATGCGCGCATACCGTGAGTAAAGCCTGTAAGTCGAGTATCTTTTGTGGGAAAGTCTTGAGGACCAGCGCTTCCGCCTCCTTCTTGATCTGCTCCTTAAACTCAGACACCTTTTGGCCAAACATTATATCATTTAGTCTTATAATTGATTCAATCTTTTTAACCGCAAATTAACCGCAAATTAACCCCAAATTCATTAGAAAACGGATTTCAAGTAACGTTTAAATCAGTTGTTAATCATATATACAGTAATGGACACCAAATAAATACCTCTTTGTTGACATCATTTGCCATTATATGTGATAATGAGTTGAATGTGTAATAAATTAATGAATTGTTTTGAAATCAACAGAAAATGAGAAAATATTGATAATAATAATGATTTGATTTAAACACGTGTTGAACACAAATACGATTGAATGCTATGTTTGCCTACAATTGGCTCACAATTCACTTGTCATATGATTTGCGCTTAATTTGAATGTAAGAAAATATTGATAATAATAATGATTTGATTTAAACACGTGTTGAACACAAATACGATTGAATGCTATGTTTGCCTACAATTGGCTCACAATTCACTTGTCATATGATTTGCCGAATTAAACTTACAAGTGATGTAAATGTGAAGTTAGTATAGAATAGTTACGAAAGTGAACAAATTAGAACAAGTAAATTAGCAAGTTTACAAATAATGGAAATTAGTTTAGTGTGCTTTTATAAATTAATTACTTTATTTTTCAAAAATAAATGTCTATTCAATTTACATACAATATATTAGTTATAAATTAGATATAAAGTAAAATATTTTCGATTAACATGGTAAATTTGAATGAAAAGTAATGAAATTCAGTACAGTATTGTGAACCCTGGTAATTTTAGGACAGCAAAAGTTTGTAATGAAATTAACGAGTGTTTGGTTTTAAGCTCTTTTCTAATTTGTCAAAAGAAATGTTAATTTGTTTAAGACTTGCCTCCAAGTCATCCATTTCTTCATCAGTAATGTCTGAAAATAGATCACTTCTCACAGTTTTAGCCATTTTGTCACTAATTGTATCGAAATTGATAGCTTTCAGTTGAGTCTGACTTAGTTTTGAATGGTTGGCGATTAAGTTTTCGCTGTTTTTGATTCGCTTTAATTGAATTTGAATGATAACGCAAATGAGAAATGAAGATCCGATATAAATGGATTCAAAAACCATTATAAGTAGTAATTCTGTGGAAATCTTTTTGTGTTTCCCTTTAGAAGTTGCAAATAAATATTTTATATTCAATCAAATTATTAGTGTATGAATACTGACCAGAAAATACAAAACTCATTGATGTTATTAAAATTGTAATCAAAATCCAGATTAAATTTAAAATGATGAACAAATGAATGCAAAATTGGTCCCATTTGTAAACCGTGTAGAAGTATAATCCAATTATAAACAGATTAATTGCATTTAAAATAAATATTTCATCAAAAATAACATTTTCTATCTTGTTCAGATCTATTATATAAAAGATTGCATTCAATACGTATAGAATTGTATAAATCAAATTAAGTACAAATAAAATGCAATAAACAACAAATAGATCCACTATTGTCTGTCTCTTGAATTTAATTGTTTCATTTAATGAATGAATTTTATTCTGTTTTTTGTTTGGCATTTTTCATACCACTGTTTAAATCAAATATTTACAATTCATTAAGATTCGTAAATTGTTTAACGATATTTGCATAATTTTAACATTTATAATATAAATTTTATATTGTATCGTGATATATTTAATTGTTTGTTATTTAAGAATAAGTTCAATAATTGATTTATTTAAATACAGTAATCACTGCTAAAAATGTTAAACAATTTTGTATCAACTAATACAATTATTAATTGTTGAAATAATGAATTTGTTCAGAATATCCATTATTTTAGCAAGAATTTGATTAAAATTTTTTACTTTTTAAATTAACATTCAACTAAGTATTTTATTAATTTAAATTATATATTTAACAATTTACATAAAGAGTAAATACATTTTTAAAAATTACACATAAATTAAGAGTATTAAAACTTTAAAATAAAACACTATTTTATAGCGTTATTTAAAAACATTATCATAATTAATAACAAATTATTACAATTGGTAAATCTAATTAATTAGTGTATATTTAAGATCGTGAATATATTACAGTAGCCTTGTTGATCTATTATATAAAACATGTTTCCATTTATTCAATTTGAATTGGTGAAAATTAATAATTAAAATTTACTAGTGATAATAATTAATGGAATTTATAATCATAATTAACGACTAAAAGGATTTATGATATTCTGTGAGTATCTCTACATTGAGTGAAATATTATTTCTTATTTGTTATCATAAAAAATCAAATTACAAAATATCTAAATATTAATTTTAAACTCTTTTACCTTTTAATGTGAATTAATGATTTAAAAATATTATTCAATTAAAACAATCAGACGATATGATTGGATGACACATAGAGACCATTGTCTACATAGACATCAATACCATTAGAATAT